TGCTCTCTCCCTCTATTTGTTATCTTACTTCTATCATTGACAGTCCCTCTAGGTTGTGGGCTGCTTGCCTGTGTTCCTGAGAAGCATCTACGGTACCAGTCTATAGAGTGTGTTTTCTTTAGTGAATTACCGGTATGTTTACCGGTAATAAACTTGCACTGTTTTATGTATATGTTTGATTACATACAGCCTTGTGACAGTTTTCCTGCATGTCATAAGCATTTGAATATAAATTAAAATGTTAAAATCAAATCTGATATTGTTTTACCTTTTATTTGGTGTGTGGAAGGTGTGCGGAAGAGGGGGTGGTCTTATACGGCGAGTATATAACAAACTCTGTATTTTGAGTGGAAATGTTAGGGGGTCGTCTTATACGCCCAGTCGTCTTATACGCTGGCAAATACGGTACATGAGTCCATTTATATGTGGATTTCATTCAATAAATACCTGTTCTGTTTTTGATTTTTGGTTGGCAATCCACAGATGCAGAGGGCTGACTGTATGCATTGATCTACGCCATTCTATACAGAGTACTTAGCATCCACCAATTTTGGTGTCCAGTGGGGGAGGGGGAGAGGGCGGTGTCCTGGAACCAATTCCTGATAAATACCCAAGGACAACTGTTTTCAGGGAGTCAAAAGGTATACATAGATTTTTCAGCGCAGGGGGCAGTGTCCCTGACACCCACATTGTATGTTTATCCACCTGATCTGTCTGGATTGGATCCAAGTGTGAGGTTGTACTTGGAGGTTTTGTTTAAAATCATCACTGACAAAGTTTCTGTCTTCAAACAGATAAGTTGCATCTTTGTCTTCATTGGCAGATATTCAAGTACAACCTGGCAGTACCTGAATATGGGGCCAAAAGAACCATGAACCAATATTCCTCTGAGGAGAGAGCACCTTTTGTTTTTCACATTTTTTCCTTTTCTTAATTTTTATTTTAATTGCAGTTTATATTCAATATTATTCGGTATTAGTTTTAAGTGTACAGCATAGTGGTTCGATAGTCAAATACTTTACAAAGTGTTCCTCCTGGTATTTCCAGCCCCCGCTGTCAGCATGTATAGTTATTCCAATATCATTGACTGTATTTGCTATGCTGTACTTTATATCCCCATGACTATACTGTAACTACCAGTCTATACTTGTCAACCCCTTCACACTTTTCACCCAGACTCCTATCAATAGATGAGTGGATAAAAAAGCTGTGGTACATATATACAATGTAGAGAGCACCTTTTAAAATAATAGACCCTTCAATATAAGAGGTTTCTGAATTCAGAGTTAGTTGTAGTTGGCAGGACTCCTGTTGTACCCTGTGGGGAGTGTAGGGGAATGGGGTTTAGGCAAGTGGAGAACTAGATTCTAGTTATGGCTCTGTCACTAACAACCTTTGTCTGAGTGGTACTGGGCAGGGTAGTTGCCCTCTCAGAGACTCAGCTTCTCTAATGACAAAATTGGGGAATACTTTCTCTCCAATACACATGTTGGCCTGAGAAAAAAAAACAAGCTCATGAGGAGAAAGAATAGAAGAGGCTTCATCTGGGTCACACACTGAGCCCATCGTATGTGAATTCAGGATCTTAAGTACCAGTACTACCAACTCAGCCATTGCTGTACCTTGTCAAGTTCCTTTTCTCCTCTGGGCCTCAGTTTACTCATCTGTAAAATGAGTCAGCGAAACTGAGGGATATCTCAGGCAATGCCCTTTTCTGCTCTTTGCAACTAGTTGCCTCATCATAGGCTTGTGATTCTTCAGAGGAGCATGTTTTACAGGAACAGGAATGGTGTGTGTGTGTGTGTGTGTGTGTGTGTGTGTGTGTGTGTGTGTGTGGTAACTTTTGTTGAGTGCTGATTGTGGGCTGTTCTGTGAATGAGGGTTTATATGCAGTATCTCAATATCCCTCACAGCAGCCTGATGTGGCTTGAGCCATTATTCCCACATTACAGATGAGGAAAGTGAGGCTCACAGGGTTGGCAACTCCAAGAAGTAAAACTCCCCATTCATACCCACATCTGTGTGACTCTGTAAATGAATAGATTAATCCTGGGGCTCTCCTTGGCTCAGAAAATGCTAATGCTGAATCTCACAATCAGATTCTGTGCATCTTCAAGTCACTATCTAAAAATCACACTTGTTCTAACAGTTCTGACCTCCAATCTCCCTGTCTGTCCATCATGAACAGGAAGGTACCATTTAAGAGAATGAATATTTTACCGCCCCCTATTGGAAAGGCCTCTGGTCATTTTCCTTTCTTGCAATTGCCTGGCTGGGCCTGAATTTGCTTAACAAAAGATAAACTCTTGTATCTAAAGATAGGTCTGGGCTTTTAAGGAGCTGCAATTAGGAACATCATTATTTTTTAAGGGCCTCCAAGTGTTGCTCTTCCTCCTGAGTAGATTGCAGTGTTCCTCATACTTCAGCCTAGCCCAGCTTGAACTCAGACTCAGTTTCACCTCCCCTTTTCTGGAAGGAAGGAAAGGGGACTAGGGTCTAATCCAGCCAGCCAGCCGTGGGCAAACTACGGCCCTCGGGCCAGATTCAGCCCCTTTGAAATGAATAAAATTAAAAAAAAGTACCCTTTTATGTAATGATGTTTACTTTGAATTTATATTAGTTCACACAAACACTCCATCCATGCTTTTGTTCCGGCCCTCTGGTCCAGTTTAAGAACCCATTGTGGCCCTCCAGTCAAAAAGTTTGCCCATCCCTGGCTAATCCTTTAACTATTTGATGACCCTGAGGGAAGTACATAACTTCCACATCTCAATTTCCTGAGCTACAAATAGGGATATGATATCATCTGCTTCTAGAATTGATATGAAGATGTAAAATGAGAAGGACAGCACTTGGACCTAGTAGGCTCCATGTAGATGTGAATTCCCCTCACTCCCCAACGTTGTCAGCATCTGCTATTGCCCAGCTGTCTGACGATGATGTGTTAACTGAAGGGGAACATGGCTTACTCACCCCTTCTTGTCCGAGAGCTGCAGCTGCTTCCAGCTGTGCTGTTGATAACTCCAGCCAACAGGAGGTAGGGGCTCTTGGGTAAAGTAATCTCTCTTTGAGGTTCACCAGTCTCATTTCCCAACCAAATTGATCATCGTAATTGTGTTTCTCTTTGCATGCCTCAGAAAAGTTAGCAGCCGTCCCTTTAAAACGACACAGAGCCTTGCGGTTCAAAGCATTTTTACATGGTTCTCAGTTTTGACCCTTCCAGTACCTCGGTGAGATGAAAACAGCTATGATGACAGTTGCGATGGCAATCATTTTAAATGGAAGAAAGTCAAGTCCTCCAATCTGAGTGCTGGGTCCAAGGCCAGAGCCTCTGATTCTGAATCCAGAGTTCTTTCGTTTCTTAATAAGTCTCCCACCTGAGTGAGATCACAGCTTCCTGTGCAGGCATGCCCCAATTTTGTTCTTTCAAAAGTCATTTTTAATCACCCACGATGTGTCAAGTATCATTACTTTAAAATGGAAGTCTCTAGTCCTATGTCACTGCCTCTCCACTCTACTAATATGCTGCTGAACTGAAAGTATCTTCTGTATGGACAGTACTGAATATATAGTTTTAGCGTCATATCTCATCTATTAATTGGTTCATTTTAAAAGTAATTATTTATTGAGCAACTAGCAAATGCCCGGTCCATGGGGATGTACTGGTCCGTTTTCCATCATCATTCCAAGCAAAGTACAGTGCATGATACAAAATAGGTACCTGGCAACTTTTATTTTTTAATGAAAGGATGCACCAGAGGTTACAAGACTACAGAGAAAGGTTCAAATGCAGCCTGGGGAGTCAAGCAAGGCTCACAAGAAGATGTCCGGGCTGAGATAAATCTTAAAGGACAAACAGGCAGATTGATATCGCACCCATGGGAGAGAAAGCAGAAAAGCTTTTTCAATTATGCACAGTTTGGGTTTATCCATCCTGCCGCTTTTCCCCCATTTGCAGGCATAATTGAGAGTCAGCAGTGGTTCGGCTTGCTAAGTGC